TCCGTTCTGTTCGAATAATCACTCAAGCAATGCGTCTACATTTCAGCCAGGCAGGCTGTGATCGCGGGTACCTGCTGGGTGCTGGTGTCGCCTTGGGCTTCTCGGGTTCGATGAGTGTGTCGGTGATGGTGATGGGACTGCTGCCCGACATGCCCGAGCTGCCAAAGCCACCGAAGCCAGGGGCTTTCTTCCCCGAGCGCTCGGCGTCGCGGCGGGCCTGCTGCAGCTCCTTGGCCTTCCGGCGCATCTCGGCCTTGGCCTCGCGCTCCTGGGTCTGAGGGAAGGGAGTGGGAGACAGTGAGATCCGGAGTCTGGACCAAACCTTTGCAGGCTCACATCTTCCCAACGCGAGAACATTTTTATTTATTCTTATGATGCTTGAGCCACTTAAAACAACTTCACTGCAGTACTATACACATGAAGATCCTACGCAATCCCTGTACTTTAGAATTATACCACAGAAAGAGCAATGTGGAGTAGTGGTCAGTGTTCTGGACTTGCAAATGACAGGATGCAGTTTCAGAAACTGGGTTGTCCTACAGCAAGGGGTTTCGCTCAGGTGGTTTTATTAAAATGCCCAGCTGCGTAAGTTGCATAAATATGCAACTTGTTTTGGAATGCCAACATCAAATTAACGAATATGAAACACATGTGCAGTGGGGCATCCTGCTTTGCAAAAAGAACGATTAAAAAACAGCAGATCAATGCATCTGAATTCGACTGCTTGCTTGTTTTACTGATTGGAGATCTGTGTCCTTTAGTTTGTAGAACAGTCTACAGCCCAGAGGTTGGAGTAGATTTTCCTGAAATCATTTCATCTGCGTAGCTTAAAAAGCCACAATAGTTCCAAAACAAAGCTCACGATTTCATTAGGTAAGGGACACCTGAGTAACCGATTGATCTTGTGATGGGTTCACAAAAGCAGAAAACCGTGGCTCCTCACCTCTCTCACAGCGCGGAACACCTTCTCCTCGTGTGAATCCATCTCCGTGAAGGTGCGGATCTGCGCCAGGTTGACGTTCTCGCGGTAGCCCAGCGCCACGATCTCGTCGAAGGCGAAGATCAGGTCGAAGCAGTGCTCCGAGATCTCGCTCTCCTCCAGCACGCGACAGTACTCGGGAATCTGCAGGGAGGAGCGAGCCGTGAACAGTGCATTTGCGTCCCGGCTTTCACGTCACCTCTGCACAAGCATCGGGATATCTCTGCAATCACGATGTACAAGCTCAAATCAAGGTTACTGGTCTGAAGCCGGTTACTGGTCCTTACTGAATCACAATTCTTTACCTCATTTCGATATAAGACTTGAAAGCAATTAAGCCATCCTTAGAATGAGCAATTCAGGTTAAGACTACATCTTAGGTAAATATCTAAAGCTATTACAATGTAGGCCTAAGGAAGAAAACCCTAAAGTTATCTCTCCTGGATGACTTAAAATGTCCTTTAACTTGTACTCGCCAATTCATTTTTATTACCTTAAAAACAATTTTCAATTGTTTGAAGACTCAGTTCTCTGGTGGAAAAAAATCCCACACACCCGCCGAGGACAAAAAGACACAAAGAGATGCTCCCCGGACACCCTCCCACAGAGACACTCGTTACCCGAGGTGCTGCACACTCCTCGTTACCCAAAAGGACAGTTAGCGCTGTCTGGAGGATTGACACTTGTCTCACTGACGCCACTGCAAGCCTAAGAGGGATCCAGCTAGTCACAGGAGTAGCTGATTCCTAGAAAGATGCAAGAGCTCTGGCTAATCCCAGCCTTACCCAGTGCACCAGAGCCTGGGGAATCCTGGGTGTAGTAGGTGACACGGTTACTAGCCCAGGCTTCAGTGATGTCTGGGAATCCCAGCTACAGCAAATTACACAGTTAGTAACCCAGACTTCAATTAGCGATGTCTGTAAATCCCAGCCACAGCAGGGTGACACTTTTAGTAACCCTGGCTTCAACTAGTGATGTCTGGATAATGGAGCTCAGCCAGCTTTCAGAGACATTTGGGAATCCATATGTTGTGTTTATATTATGAATTAGGTGTGTTTGTTTTAGGACATAAGAAACATTACGAACAAGAGGAGACTATTAAGCCCATTTAGCTGGTTTAATAGTTAGCTCATCTAATGATCACTTGTCTCTTGAAAGAAGCCAGGGCATTGGCATGGATCTTTCATGGATGTGCATTTTGTTCCAGGCTCCCCACAACCCTTTGGGTAAGAAGTGCCTCCTGTTCTCAGTTTTAAATGGACTTCAGCATATTTTCCTCTTAGTGTCCTCTGATTTGTGGTTCTTCATTCAGAGGTCTGCTGGTTTGACTTGATCAATGCAATGAATTTTGGTTCTGCTCCTGTAGCCTATCAGAACAGGACACCCTCTTAAGCCCCAGAATGTAACTGGTCATTAATTAACCAAAGAAGGGGTAATTTACATTTGTTTAAGCTGAAAGGATGGTTAGCACTGTCCGGAGGACTGGAACTTGTCTCAATGATGCCACTTCCCCATTTAAGGGTAAGGAAAGGCAGATTACTGGCTACAACTACTGCTACCCAGCAAAAAACAGTCTGACCCATGTAGAAAATGGACTTCGCCTGGCTGGGTTTGTCCCACTCTAGGTGGTGGCCCAAACGACTAAAACAAACCTGTAGGAAAGTTATGAGCGGGCAGTCTTATCGTGACCAGGGATGACTTCCTGCGTCGGGCCTGAGGCCTGGCGAGGCAGGAAGGGGGGGGCGTCTTACCACACGGGAGAAGAGGCGCAGGGTCTCCAGGTCCTCCAGGATGTTGCTGTTCTTGGTGGTGATGAGCACCATGTAGAGCTTCTCCAGGGGCTGGTACACGTAGCGCACGCTCTCCGTCTCCACGAAGGTGTGCTGCTTGCCCGTGTTCATGAGCTTGGGGAAGGCCGCCAGCAGGCCTTCGATGCGCGTGCGGGTCATTTCCACAAACTGGCGCGACACGATGGCCTTGCCCGCCTTGGTGCACACTGCCGCTGCCAACAGCACCTCGGGGAAGAGAAGGGAAAACGGGGGTGTCAGCTGTCAAGCCGTGCTGAAGCCAGGTTAGCGCCCTCTCTGGCCCACAGGTGGAACAAGAGATTTGTAGCGCGGTGAAGAAAACCGACACGCGTGGGGACCTCTCGCACGTTCAGTCTCACAAGCCCGACGGGTTTTGTTCACTCTGGGGACGGGAGAAAGGTTTTTTTGCACTCTTGTGCAATTAAACTTTAGGATAGATTTTCCTCCCCCTAAACTTACAAGCCATATTAAAAATACTGACAAGACAGGTAATTAAATCGTGTACTCATGAAACGTTTTCCCCATTTAGATGGCTAAGACGAGAAGGGTGACTCCTACAAAGATGGAAAGCTGCTCTTCCGTTATCAAACACAAAAACACCGCGTTAACCTGGAATGGCAGGGAGAGGATTTCGGATTCTTTTCTTTCTTCCCCTCATTTTGGTTTACTCTGTGTGCTTCTCTCCGCCTTGCCAAGCAGGAGTCTTCCAAGGGACCGATGAGCACTCAGGAATACACGCACAGACGCTTGGCAAAAGGTTCTGAAGGTTCTTGGCCCGTTTTCTGCGTCCTCAATTCTTCTCCCGTTCCGAAGGTCCAGAATAAACCGTAGCGCGGGCCGTTCATTTCAGAAAACACGTGGCAATTTTTGCTACCATACTGCTGTGAAGTAATAAAATCCAAATTCGCCATGGAAACGGACAAAGACTTTATTTTAATTTTAAATGCTGTTTTTTTTTTACTTTGTATCCTGAAAAATGTTAAGAAATGCAGGGCGACGGTGCTGTTTACAGAGGAAGGCAGCAGACCTTTAAAAGAACATATCTTGGAAAGACAGAACCAGCTCTGCACCGCGGAGGATTCTAATCACAGCTTTCATACAACAAGGCCGGGGCCTGTGTTGAACAAAGCAAACAAAAAAAAATAAATAGCTTTCATTTCTTGTACATCTCTTTCGTGGTTTAATAATTCGAAAACCAATTTCGGAGGAATGAAATAATCTAATTTAAGAAGGCAGCAAAGGGACCTTACATTTACCCAAGGTCTCATAACCACACATTTAAAAGGAATACACCTTTCACAGCTCAGATGATTCGAACACCAAGACACCTGAAATGATCCAATTTAAATCATGCCCAAAGTGCACAAAGGATGAACACTGCCAAACGTTCCCAGGTGCTACCAATATACTTGTCTGCTGTAACCAGAACGAAGATGGGACACTTTCTCATGCTTCTAAGAACTGGGGGTCAGACTGAAGCCAACGGCAGCACAGTGGTCACAATGGTCTTCTGGCACGTGGCAAACTGACAGCCACCTTCAAGCACTGGATTCATCCCGATCGTCCTCAGGCTTAACTTGCACAGAAAGAACCTATAGGCATTTGTTGTTGTCTTTAACCCAAAATCCATAAGGTAAACAGCATTTCTGCACGGCAACGTCACTTTCCAGTTACGTGTTCACCATGGTGTTCAAGGAGCAAAATACAGAATTAGATAAGTAGAATAAACCTGCATCGGAGAAAATAAACAGAGTACTTTCCCCTTTTTGTACTGGAAGCTGAGCAAACACATGGGGAAGGATGGTGAAATTTTACACCAATCCAACAGCTGAATCAGATGAGCTGTTTCTGAAACAGCATCCTGATTAGCACGTAATACTTAAAAGTGATGATGCATTTTTTGTGGAAAAGGCCTGCTCCTTCCTACATCCTGCCCTTTAAAAAGTACACAACACACACACACACAAATAGCAACCTCAAGACTCCAAAACATATTGTTGCTTATTTGAAAGTAGTCCTATGACTGGCCCTGCGGATGTGTTTCCTAAAACTGTCAGATGAATACATTTTGGGAGTTTGTGTGCAGGTTTCACCAACCTGAACTTTAAAAAGAAAAGGAAATGCAATCCTGGAGAGATCTGTTGCTGAAATCAATACCAGCAGACAGGATTATTCCTTGAGAAACAATTAATTATACTTCCTTTGAAGCACTTAATTATCACCAATAACATTTGACCTGAGACCTGATTTTAACCATCACACATAGAAAGAATCAGGGAGAAAGTTTGCTACACAGATCATAATATTTTGAAAAGACCTTAAATATAGTCAGATTGTAGCACCGCTAGATCTATAAATGACCAACAAATAGTTGGGCTTTTCTGGTAAACGTAAACATCTGTGAGGTCTAGTCTACCGTGACTACACCTATAACCTAGACATGTAAACTGTTTTATATTGGGGAACAGACAGAGTCACTGAAAAACACCTAAAGAACCTGCGAAGTAGACTGTGATGGATGCAGTTCATACACGCAACAGTGTAGATTTCACCGCCTTGTGACCTGGTCAGTAAAACAGGTGTTCCGGTTTTATAAACCGTTTCAATCTGTACTGTGATTTCCAAAATATGAGATGGAACAGAAAAGCAGTACATCAGCCTACGGACTCTGCTAGTTTTTGTTTCACCCGCTCTCTTAAATTCCTGGTGCTAACTGATGCCTTGAATTGATCAGTGTCCTTGGTTTCAGACATACCATTGCATTTCATGTTTTTTTGACCACTTCAACATGCAGAACTTTAAGCAGTTTTTCTCGGGCTCCCTTAATTCTGGCTAAAGGGCTTGTGGGTGATTGTCAAACTCCATAGAGTGTCTCCTGCCTCTCCCCTCCAGTGGCTTAATTGTAAACAAATTCAGCTAACACCTGAATCAGGGGAGTTGTGAATCTCGAAAATTAGTACGCGGCCGACACTAATTAGTTTTGTGAACCCAAAGCATTTTATAGAACGCCTCAAAGCCAACTGAAAACACTTAGCCTGCGATTAAATACTCGGCTATAAAAATCAGAAGGCGACACTATCGCCATCAATACCAGCTTAAGAAGCACTCCGATAAGCGATCTTGCGCGTAATCACCTGGTCTTAGACCAACAGCTATCTGTGCGATTCCTTTTCTGGAATACAACGAGATCGTGTACTGGTGTCCAAGTCCCCAACTGGGCAGTAGTATTTATTTCAAGACCCGAGCTGATGAAGTTGTTCATTCAAGTACGTATCGCCTTCGGACGTCGGTGCTACTCCAACGCTGTAGGTACGAGGTCCGTCGCTTGTTTTTATAATGCTGTATTCAGATTTTTAAAGTAACTTGTTTGACAGGTTTCGTTATTTTGTAACGACGGTTCTTTAGTGTTCAGTATGTCGGTAAATAAAAATGCTGCAAGCTTGCATTTTCCTAAAGCAATCGGCTAGCTTGATCATGGCGAGGTCTACGAAAAGGCACACTATAATTGATTGTTAGTGTTTACCATATTGTATGGCTGTATGAGACACCCAAGCTGAAATTCTTCCCGATCTCCACTAAACGTGCCAGCCACGTCACTCGAGCCGTGTTTTACGCTACAAGGACAGAGTTATTCCACTCACCTAGTTAAGGTCTCTTTTTATACCATGACTTGGATGGGAGGACAAATGGGTATTTTACCCGAGCCAGCAGCTACTGTATTCACTGCCAAGTGCATTATTTCCAGCGGGGCCTACGACAGCAGCGGTTTGATCGCTATAAACCTCTATCCGCTAAGGATACTGTCTGCGCGAAGTCCGACAACTCTTTATAAAAATAAAACTACCTCTTAACAGCTTGCGAATCGGACCGTTAACGGTCCTTGTCTCAATCAAGACTTTATATTTCCTTTCCGACTCTCGTCCACTGACCAAGCCGGAACAAGGACTGGTCTCGATCATCTTTCGGTTAAAACGCACTGTTCGGTAACCGACTAGAAGACTTCAAGGCTTACCATTTTCGCTCCTTGTGCTTGCAAAAGATATTACGTTCCTAATGATAGGGGGATCCTCCCAATTTCCAGACGCTTTCTCTGCAAAATATTCAAGAGTCGATCCGCTGCTTTCCACTGGCGTCTCCCAGCCTACGGCTCCAATATGGCAGCACAGAGCCACGTCTCCAACCGGAAGCAGCTTGTCACGGGGTCAAAGTGCACGGCGTTAGGTAGCATTCGAACATGTGGAAGATTCAACATCAGCATCAGTAGCGTAGCTTAATTGCTAATTAAACATATCTTTCCCGTTAGCGTTTGTAAGCCCTGCGGGGTGGGTTCAACCCTTTTTTTTTTTCAGAAATCCCTAGCTTTAAGAAACCGCCAACACCCACAACTTAAACACCAGCCTAACCTAGTAATACTACTTGCTACGAAATTTTAAAGCACATCTCCGCAAAGCCGCATATGCGATGATTCTGGACGGATTTTTAAACACGGCTTGGAATCAAAGCATTTAATGCAACCCCTCTATGTTACTAAAGCTGGTTCCCTGCATGCTTTGGAAAAAGTTTACATGATCCGAGCAGCTGTAAGGACCGATTTGTAAATGGCACTGTATTCCCGATCCAGGAATAACTGGATCAATGTTTAGTAACCCCTTGTGCTGGCAAGGAGGGACGTCGAATATTTTCTTCTTTTGGACAACTTGTGTATCGGGTATAATTATATGAATTACTCTTCTTATGCTGCGCGAGTGACCTTGCTTCCACCACTCTGAATGACTTTTTAAAAATCCTGCCGATAGAGGGCAGTGCCGATGTTTGTAATCGGGCACACGGTGAATCAAAATGTGCCAGAATCACGTTTGATTTAAGATCTTATGATTCATCCCTGATTAAAATTCCCATTTAAGCCACATGCATCTTGTGAAACCTCGCGAACAGCAGTAAGAGCACGTCTGTATTGATTTCAGTCTTTCTTTTTGCCAGCCATTGCGAGGGTCTTCACCGATGTCCTCTCTTCTAATGTCAAAAACCAGCTTACCAAGACCACAAAATGCCAGACAAGCGGAAACTTCCAAGCACCTTCCTTTGGAGAGTCACCGATGCATCTGTTCTTAACTGTTGGTTTAAAGGCATGATAGTTACGTAGGTGAAGTCGAGGGGGAAAAGTAAGCACCGTCAAGTTGAAAACCGAGCTAATATCCTTAAAGGCCTGCCGTAAACCTATAAAGGTGCGATCGGATCTAATTGACGAATGTTAAAATTTAAAGACTGGACTTGAGGTGCGGGCTTTAAATTTGACAATGTAAACAACAAGCCCCTTTTATTCATGCCGTAGAACAAAGACTAAATTGTTGACATTTTTATTTCTGTTGCACATGCGTCGAGTCATATAGTTTGCGTCTCTAAATCTAACCTTTCCAACGGTGAAAGACTTAATAACAACCGAGATAGTGAGTATAATTATGAGCTCACACTGCGTTGCTAACTGCAAGGTTCTTGAGGAATAAACCGAGTATCTGGTTGCACCAAGCTGTGACCATGACGCTGCTCTGCGTTTCTGTTGCAGCTTCGCCGGATGGGCGCCGTATACAGTTCGGATAGCCTGAAGAGCACCATGCAGACCAGTGCCATTACAGACAAACCGTTGAGGACCCTTCACTTCGGAACTGGTACAACTTCTCTGTGGGCATTTCCCCCAAACTACTAGGTGGCCAGACATGGTCCAGAACGAACGGTTTCTACTTATCTGATTTGTGATACAGACAGTGAGCACATCCTTTGGTGAGCTACATAGGTCTATCAGTGCTTGTGACTGACAAAATGGCTGCATTGTAGACAGGCCATATCACTGTAGCTCCCAAACTGTGTCTCCAGCTTGCTTTGATCAGTGGTCAGTCTTTATACCTTGCCTGTTTTTTTTTATTTCCTCCTTTGGAGCAGACGGGTTAGTTTTAATATATGGGCAGACGTGAATCCCACATCGTCTAATACCAGGAAAATGTGTATGAATTTAAAACGGAAGTAGCTCAACCAGTTTCTAAGAAAAACATAAATAAATAGGGTTCTCCTTTTCAAGGCTGAAGTCCTTATTAGAAGACAACTTTGTAACTATAGCAACTGGCTGTTCTGAGTTCCTAGTATAGATTCTCTAGCCAAATAAATTCTCATTATACATCATATACATAAAAAAATAAATAAAAGACAATTCCCAAACCAAGCAAACACCTTTTATTACAGAAACGCAAAACACTTACTAACGATCTGTACGAAAAAGGGTGGGGTGGGGAACTTTAACTGTTTTATAATTAAACACGAGTTACACCACTCGAGAGCCAGATTGCAGATGGAAATGCTGGTCAGTATTGAACTGCAATGAATACCTCACCAGCACAAGACCTGCCCAGCAACTGAGCTGAGACTGGGGACTGGTCAGCAGAAGAACACTGAGGGCTTGGAGCTGCATAACTGAAGAAAGATGAACAGCATGTCGAATTTCTACAAATCATTCTCCTTAGGCCTGTGTACAAATAAAGTTAAATCGCCACTTTAGTTTTAAAAGTAAAATAAAGACAATTGATAGGCAAGTGTGTGTCTTAATATTTAATAGAACACATTTATTAGTCATATCCAGTTTATCTGAATGATAATGTACATTTATGTACAGACACTGGCAGTTAATATCTTGACAAATTTCAGATGACTTGTCATCTATGACTAATACCGAACACGGCTGATTTTCTTCCCCTAGTCTCAAAGCAGAATCCTATGTGCTGTACTTTAAGTTGCCTTTCCAGGTTTAAATGATAGTACACTTTTATATAGCCCCTTTGAAATTGGCTTCTCAAAGTGCTTTACAGTGGGGGGAGGGGGGCAGCACAATGAGAGGAGACAGCAGCATTATAACGTCAAATAAAACAATTGATATTTTAGCTTTATCTGCGCGGAAAATAAATAGTAATACCAAAACAAAACTGAAACCGAACAATTTAGCAAAATTCCAGATAAACGGAAACTGGACCCGCTGCCATCTTGCCGGCCGCAGCGCACCTGACGCGCAGAGGGGCGGGGCCTGTCTGCTCACCGTCATTCTGGAGGCGGGCTCGCTGACCTGATTGACAGCTGATTTAAAATGCCTTGAAATGGGACGTTACATTGTGCAATACAATAACACTCCAAATCGTGTTAATCCAGGCACATCCCAATGCGTTTGTCCTCTTTTGGGTCTGTAGCAGAAATAAAAAAAGGGTGTTTGACAAATTCAAAAACTTAAAAGTTGAATGCTGCAGTGGAATTGCAACATTGTTATCCTAACGCTTCATCATTTAAGTGAAATATTGTACTAAACATGATGGTGGGGAACGATACTCTCAGTCTCACGGTAGACAAATGTCAGATTTTCCCTAACCTTTTTAAAGACGGAAAACAGCACCTAGCACAGACATCGCAGACTGTACGGCACGGTTTGCAGGAGTACCTGCTATTCGCAGAAGAGTATATTTAAAATAAAGTGACTGAAGACTGAACCATGAAGAACTTAGCTGCGTATAATCTTAATGCCCCACGGGCGCGTGAAGTAACCGCTTTTCCAAAATGTACAGTAGTGTTTCCTAAAAACCCACAAAAGCCGGTGATAATAAATTCTTCACTCTAGAGGAACAACACAAAAATTTAAAGGAATATAATAATTAATAATTGCTTACACTTATATAGCGCTTTTCAGGTAATGGGGATCCCCTCCACCACCACCAATGTGTAATATTTAATGTGTTACTTTTAGAAGTAACTCAAGCGAAATCGCTAACCTATTATAATGACCAAATCCGTCTCTATAATTGAATAATGAAAAAGCTATAAAAACGACAGTATATTATTGGTGGTGGTGAAGGGGAGTCCCCATTACCTGTTAAGCGCTTTGAGTGGAGTGTCCAGAAAAGCGCTATATAAGTGTAAGCAATTATTATTATTATTATAATATTGGAATTATTCCTAATATTTTGTCCTCACTTTCATTGGGCGCAACACGCATGCGTGACCTTCCCCCCCGGAAATGACATTCTTTGGAGGACACGGGAAGGAGGACGGAATATTTTTCATTTAGCGCTTCGCTCTTGTCCTCTCTGACAGTTTGGCGCGTTGTAGCCGGGATTGCTGCAGTTTCCTGTTCAGCGCGTACAGAACAGGACAACCTTCACGGCACAGCCGATCTCCTCTCTCTCCCACGCTGACGGTGTCGAAGGGACAGGGATGTCACGCGAGCCCGGCGCCCAGGTGGGTTTACGGTAGACACGCGGAAACCTGAAGTTCCTGGAGCTGAATTCGGAGAGCTGCGATTGGCTGTTGTAAATGTCAATCTGTGTGTCTGAGCGCTGCCATTGGTTAAAACCGAGGAGACCTGTATGTTGGTAGGCGGCTGAAATGAACAAGAACTTTCAAAGTGGGGGGAATAAAATAATAAATTCTTAAGAAGACAGAGGACCTGTTCATAACACTGTAAAAGTTCAATTAGAGATGACTCAGTTGAATGATTGTTATGAGTGTAAAGTATGGAGTATGCACCATTTGGTTTATGGTGCTGATAACTGGGCTTTATATCTGTAGGTAAAAGAAAGAAATAAACCGAAAACGTCTAATAAATCATGCGATCACATTAATTTCATCACATTACATTACATTACATCACATTTAGTGATGTAAAACTGTGAATAAATTGCGCTGAAATTAAATGTGTATATTTCGTAACCATATGTGCCGAAAGTAAATCTGCAGTCTTTTACGTAAATGGCACGTCCTAATACGGATTGAGAGGATTACTTGGAAGTCATGAGAACACACATGTGGTTCCAAGGAAGCATACGTGACATTTTTAAACCCATTCTTGACAGCAGTCAGACCAGCTCCTGGCATAGAGAGAGAACACGTAGAACACAACGCTTAGAAAGGAGCACATCTCCTATACCTAAAGACTAGAATCCAGAAGGTTTTTTTAGGGCTCGTTAAATCGTCGACAGCTGAAGATCTTTGAAAAATGTTCAGTTGGTCCAATTTACTTAATGAGAAGATTAACAAAGCCATAGAGAGCAGGAATGTAAAAAAAAACGTCATATTGAATGAAGCAGAACTCTGTTTTGCTTTCATGAACCAATTCACCTCCATATTGTGCAATGTTATGTCTCTCTTGGATCTCATATCTCTACTGCATTTTCTTCGGGTTAATCTTAAACACTTGTCAGAACAGTCAAGATCACCACTGAGCGGATATGCAAAGTATTTTAGGTGCCATGCAAATGTAGTGCATCCGAGCAGCATTTCACAGCTGTGGTGCTGAACACTTGTACCGCAGTGCTGGAGAGACCTTGATCTGGTAGAGAGAACGTGAGGGCAGTTTGGAAAACACAAGGGTAGTGTGTAATGGGCTTGTATTTTTTAAGTTATTCACCTCTCTATGAATCCCCCCCCCCCAAGTCTTTTTGCTACAATGTACTGATCTGTAGAAGGTCCAGGTGCTCCTCCCTACCCTCTCCAACGGCTGCCATGAATCGACAGTACTGTCTTATCAGCAGCAGCCAGGGGTGGGCGGTGAAGAACCCACAGGCACACAGGGCTAGACACTGTTCTCTCCAGTCAGCTTCCCTCTTTTCAGCACTGCTCTCTGCTAGAGACGGGGGAAATTGTCGTTCCTTCATTCCTGTTAATAAAACGGCGATTTGCTCTCGGGAACAATGGAGAACGGGGTTCCTAAATCCACAAGGGTAAGTAAAATAAGCTGCGATGAGAGGGTCTCTCGATGTTAAGGAATGTGAGGCAGAGTACTTACTGCAAGAGCTGCTTGTTCATTGCTGCAGTAAACGGGATCCATCTCTTTAGTGGGTTGGATATATTAGCAGGCTTCTTAAATGTGGATTGAGGTTGAAAATGCTTCTGTTTTACCAGTGTGTTTGAATTATCGGTGCCCCCCCACATGTTTTAATTCATCGCGAGGGAAGGGCTGTGTTCTGTCAGTGGCACTGCGTTCGCCATGTGAGTTCAGCACCTCAGAGGGATCTTGTCTTTCCCTTCCTTTGCAGGATGGGAACGGAAAAGCCAGCCAAGTCATACGGATGGGAACCAGGAAGAGCCAGGTACAGTATAGATCTTTAGATGTTATCGTCTTTTTTTGTTTCTTTGAAAAACGTATCCTTTTCTCTCTTTTCCTGGAAGATCACCAGTCTTCTGATTTTCGTGACGAGCAATCACCTGAGGCAAATTGTTCTCTAGTTAAGATATTTATTTTTCCCCGTCCGTTGAGAACTATTTAGCCTTAGTGATAGGAAGTGTCAGATACACCTGTGAGTGGTTATCACCATTGGTCTTATAAACATCTTATAAAGTTGTTTAGCCAGAAATGGAAGAGTGTTTATTACAAATAAAAAACATGGATGGATTTGTTAGATCAATTTGTCCTATAACAACCAGCAGAAGTCTTTGTAAATCCGAACATTGAGTGTGGAAGTTGTTTACAATGATCGGTAAGTCAGAAGATCAGTTCCATGGATCAGTTGGCTTCACTATTTAAAAGCACAGCTGTAACAAAAACCAGAAGAGACCAAGGTTGATGAGCATATTCTCCTCATGCTGTGGTTGTAATTTATTTGTAGTGAACTATATTGGGGACACTCCTGCAACAGGAATCTTCAGTTCATATCCTTGTGACCCCAATATTGTTTCCCGACGAGCTTCTGAGTATTTAATATTGCCCCACACTCAACTAGTATCTTCCCAAGATAGTGAGTTGTTTGAGTTGTTTTCAGTTGGGGGAACACTGGTGGAGGTGTTATTTTACCTACAAAAATCCTTAACCCGGGCTAAAGTTTTAGAATTGGAAAGCAGTTGAAATGGAGTGATCAGTGGAATTCAAGCAAAAATGGACTTTTCTGTCAAATTTTAGCGCTTTTTTTCTTCAGAGAGAGGGAGGGACAGGGCTGTGCAATCAGATATGAAGCCATGCCACTCTGTCCTTGCAGATAACATGGAATCTCTTCAATGCACAAATGGTTTGACTAAAACTCCAGAGAGTGAGATAGAGGTGTTATCTGACACCATTCCTTTGTACAGGATCAGTTTTTTACTGGTATATAAAAACTGTATATCAGGGGCTCGAATATCACAGGAGTAATGCTTTTTACAGCTTTATCAACTTCGAGCCTGATCTCGGCAGTAGCTAAGGGAAAGGAATGTCTTCAGAAAACATTGGGTTGGTGGTCCAGTTATGTTCAGAAAGAGATCTTCTTGGTTACTAAGATCCTGTGGCCTTGTTCATAAGGGTTCTAGTGGTGTAACCCCAGAGTCCTGGCTTCATTTTACACAATCTGGCCATCTTAATTAATTAAGGGTGTTAGCTTCCCCATTAATTTCTCACATCTCTGCCTGCTGTGTAGTGAGGGCTGGATTTTAGTTGGCAAAAAGTCAGTCTTCTGTGTGTGTAAAGCCCCGCTTGGTATCCTTTGAGATGAAAAAAGTTGGATAAAAGACAGATGTTAGTTAATGCAATAGTTTTTTTGCAACTTGAGCAACAACTTTTAATTGTCTACAGTTCATATATTTTCAGTGTTTGCTTGCAAGGAGTAGGATATGGCCATATGTGACGGAGCAGGGAATTTGAAAAACAGAAGATTATTTTAAAAGCTATCCTTTGCAGAATTTAGTTCCTTGTATCATTTTTAGATAGTTCTCAAAAAATGGTTTTGCTCTATATAAGAAGATTAAAGCATGGTTTTGTTTCTGTTCAATAATACATTTGTAGTCATAAAAAGATCCATCCACCCTATTCACTGTAACAGGGTGTTTGCTATCGCCCAGGTACTAACTCGGTGAAGAACACACGATCTGGGATGCTGGAGTGGGTTTGCACTGCCTGGATTTAGACTGGACATCCTGTGAATGGGCGACACTGCCCTTCTTTGTTTGGCTCATTTTTATGTGTGTGCTGCTGTTTTTCAGCTGGCTCGGATTCAGACCGACAGTGTGGCAGAGAAGCTGAAGAGCCTCTACCCTGAGGTGCAACTCGAGATCGGTGAGGGCAGGCCACACCCTGAGAGAGACAGCATCCCCAGTACAGGCTCTCCCAGATGTGTTCTAAACCCCAAATAGGAACTAATAAGATCGTCAAACAAGACGGTTGACAGATTGGATAATGCCTTGCATAAAAAAAACCGCAAAAGGTAAAAAAGTAACCTTAAGGCAAAAAACAAAAGTAAAAACCTCAAAAAAAAGCCAAAAAGCCCAGGGAACATGAGGTTCACACTGATTGGCACCCTTGTAGTATCTTCTAAATCCTCCCCAGCAGGGATTCCATGTCTTAGACCCCTCCTGTAGTGCACTTCGAGACTGTGGCTCTTCCGAAGAGAGATTTTGGACTATTCTGTCAAATGTGGACTAATTTGACTAGTCTGAAAACAGCTCTCAGTTTCTGCAGTGCTTAAAGGAATGCGATATGGGGAAGCAGTTCCTCATGAGCTTCTACCACAGCACCATAGAAAGTGTCCTCGCCAGCGGCATCGCTGCGTGGTGCTGCCATGCATGTCAGAGATGCGCTACAAAGGGTTGTGGCAACGGGACCGGCGATTATAGGATGTGATTTACCACCAATCGGTGAGATCCACACCAACTGCTGGCGCAACAGCCCAATCCATCATTCGTGATCCCAAAACTCCCGGCCACGGACTGGCCCTGGCGCTCTGGCAAGCGGTACTGCACTATTAAAGCAGGGACCCGTTAGACTCAAGAACAGCTTCTATCCCACTGCAGTGCACCTTCTCGACAGCTAACGACAGTGCCTATACACACATCTGCCCTATGCACTTTTTGCATGGTCTGCCATGTTTTTATTTGTCTCACTTCTACATACAGTATTTATTTACATTTATTGTCCCACAACATATTTAGTGCTCCTGTTGTCTGCATTGTGTGGTGTTGTCTGTTGTGCTGTGCATGTCCCGAGAGATCAGCGCGATTAAGAATACCAATGTACGTGTGCTACTCGGCTCTATTCTTCCAGGCAGAATTGCTCTCGGTTCCGTTTGTGAAGGCATTCTCGGGTTTGAATCACACCTGTTCAATTGGATTGAGGTCTGCAAGTTCAGACGGGTAGTTGAGGCCTTTTATTTTCAGTTAACTATTGTCATATTGACCAAAGTAGGTGTAGTGAAAAAGTGAACTTTTTGTACGTGCTCATCAGCTTTACCTTGGGCATAAAAAGAGCTCAAGCTGATCAAATGCTCCTGCCATATTTTGCTGTGGGCGGGAGTGTTTTTTCCAACATGAGGGTCACTTGACTGTCACAAACTGGAAGAGTATGCATCTGGTTCTGGAACAGCGGTAAATGATGCAACTGGTTACTTCAACCACAAGAGACATCTCCCTTCTGTCAGTGTGATCTTCAGCGCCTCCGATTGGTCAGCCCCCTGCAAAGAGAGCTGACTCAGATGTTCTGGATTTCCACCAGCAAACTGTCTCACTTCCAGTTAATAAGGGGAAGTCTGTGTGCTTCACAAGAAAGCTGATTGTGCTGCGAAGAATCGGGCGCAGTTCAGTTTCCTATCTTTTCTTTCGCTGTGACTGCCTGGGTCATCCCACAGTTCCTATGTTACTGCAAGTGCGAGGAAGAGGTGTCATTCCTTAGACAGAAAAGAAAGAAAGAAAGGAAGGACTGAAAGAACAGTCTTTTCATTAATGTGCAATTTAGACATTTTATCCACATATAGTTACAAATGCAGTGTACAATTCAGACTCAATATAATGCACTTACAGCTGAGTAACATATCCTTGCTTATGAGCCACAAAAGCATCTTTAGCATATTTAATTTTCAGACACTTGTTACTCAGACAGGGCTCAAACTTAAAACTCTTTCCATCTGCTGCTTGTACATTTTCTTGGGGCAGTACCTTGACTTTAAAACGTTAAGCCTTGATCTTTAAACGCTCAGGAAATCAGCCATCTGCTGACTGTCCTGGTGTCTCGGGGTTTGGTTTCCTGGTGTATCGTTGCTGTGTTCACCTTGGTTTTTTTTTCCTGTGCCAGTTGCCATGTCAACGACTGGGGACAAAATCCTGGATACGGCTTTGTCAAAGGTGAGCTTTTTTTGTCACTGCCCCAGCACTACAGTACACAAGCAATTTGGATTTCCCTAATTTGTTACAAGGATCATACTGGATATCTGCCATGTGACTTGGTTACGAATTAGCCCTTTGGGTAATAATTGCTACCTAATAACAAATGTAAGATTGTTGTTTGAACACCTGCTTGGAAATGGTTCTCTGTCAGTGTGAGTACATTAATACAAGTCCTGTTTTGCTGCCTCTATTGCAGGGCTGTCTAACCCTGGTCATGGAGAGCCTCAATCCACTTAGTTGAATTCTTAAGGACTGTTTGTCTGTTTTGGGAAAAATTGGCAAAGCCTGTAAGCTATTGATGAATCAAACCAGTAATCTGTTCAATTAACAGAACTCTGGTCCTCAAGAGCTGAAGAGGACCTTGATTTGAGCCTGAAATTATCTCTTAAATTACTTGGTGTAACAGCTGATCTCAGTGGGATCATTCCATATCTTTAGAAATAGATTGATTTAATAGTGACCTACTGGACTGGAGCTCTCCCTGGGCCTTTCCTTTATCTGTACAATTTAACCAGGAAAATGCTTACAGAATCTCAGATAGTGTAACAGTATGATATTGGGGAAAAATCAAATTGTAACCTTAGTTTTGGTCTTCAGCCAGCATTCATAGATTTTGAAGAGGTAATGATCATCAGATCTTTTTGGAATTCATAAAAGTCTGGAATGGTGTTCTGTATACGAGTGTCAGGATTTCAGTTTAACTATGACCCGTTGATATGGAGTTGTTGGTTTGTGTGTTTCAGATTGGAGAGAAAAGCCTCTTCACCAAGGAACTGGAGAACGCCTTGGAGAGGAACGAGTAAGGCTCCTTATGTACAGGGCCTGTATGCTTAAGACCATTTAAAACCTTGAATTTCAAACTGATCCTCTCGTTACCAAGACTGATAGCAGTGTTATCAAGATCTCGGAACCTAACCAAGTACCGGTCAGTTCAGGGATGGGAGATCTTAGAAAACCATTATGCTGCTGGACCAGTAGGGGGTTCTTCACACCCCTGAACCAGAAGTTCCAACCCATTGGCCCAGTATGGTGACCTGGGACACTGCACTGTAGAAGGTGGCGTCCTTCAGATAAGTTATACGGAAGTCTCGACGGCTTGGTCTTTACAGATCTGGTGGCAGTGTGTAAATCTTGGGGTCCTGGCTGTCTGGCCCTGTAGTTTCTTCCTTAATTCAACTTGGTGATGTAATTTCCTCCCACTTGATCGGCTATGTAGTGGGACTGCTGGGGCAGTATGGCAGTCGGCACCCAGTTGCTGCTGCATTTCAATGGGTGAAATGGGATTTTTGTGGGGGTTCCTTTGGGATGTTTAGTACTATACGATGGCAACCAGTTATTTTAAAATAAGGCTTCAATGCGTGCCTGTGTGCTTTCTGATCTTTTTTGCAACAAGTGTTTTTGCACAACATGGAGAGTAAAGTGTAGAAGGTTTGGTCTGGGCTGCTGTGTGACTCTCTGATTCTGTTAAGCCTCTTCCTCCATGTGTGCTGCTCACAGGGTGGACCTGGTTGTGCACTCCCTTAAGGACCTGCCCACCTCTCTGCCTCCTGGCTTCACCATCGGAGCTGTGCTCAAGTGAGTAACTAGATCGACATGGACGACCTCAGACAGAAGAGTGGGGCATTATGGAGCCTGATATAAACGTCCTTGCAAAACCACGTCTTTGTCCAGGAAGACTTGAGGAGTTAGGTTCTCACTAGAAGTTGGGCAGTATCCCAAACTGCGAGATCTTGAACTGGGCTGTAAATCAAGAATCGTGCCCAGTCAGTTGTTTTTTAAAAAAGTCATTGAATGTGATTTGAAGTGAGAATTCTTTTTGGACCAGTTTATGAAATGAGACACAAATGTGAATATTTTTGGTAAATCACACTCATCTCACAGGAACAGGTACTAGCAAATATACCTTATCTGAGGCTCTATTACCCTGAAAATAAGGAGCCTCATTCCGTAAAACAGAGAGGTTAACTTCCAAATGTGAGGCTTTTCAAGTAAAAGAAGTTAAGTAACAGTTTCACTTCCTTTCACTGTAGACCATTTTGTGATTTTTATTTCTGGCACGCCCTGTCCCATTGAACCCTCACCCTGATGGATAACTGCTTTCAGGCGTGAAAATCCCCATGATGCAGTGGTTCTTCACCCAAAGAATGCTGGGAAAACCCTGGGCACTCTCCCAGAGAAGAGGTAAGTAACGGGCTGGAGATCAGGGCGAACTTCAGACCCTCTCATTCACAGAGCAGGAATGAAATACCAGCAAAGCGCATGAATGAAGGAAGGGACCTTTTCAGATTCAACAGTGAAACGGGAACTAGAGGGCAGAAGTGAAAACTTGGTTGAAGTGCATTTAAAAATCGAAAGCCTTCTTTGCGAAAGGGTTGTGGGAACAAGCTGCCTAACCATGTTCCTGAAGTCAATGACCTGGCTTCTTTCACAAAACAACTGGAGACCCTTGAAACTATTAAATACTTGCTACAAAATGTGCTAGGCGGGACAAACAGCATCCTCTTCGTTTGTGAACTTTATGTTCTTAGGGGGAGGTGGCAGGATATGTTTCGCGTTACGCCAGTGGTCTTAACCTTTACTGCAGCCTGCACCCCTCTGTTTCTCTGCACCCCTTATCAAAACTCATTGCAGTAGGTCAGTTCCTTAAACCTAAGATATATCATAACTATAGAATGAAAGAAATGGAATTATACTTTTATTTTAGTTTTGCGGTCAAATTAAGAATACATGAAAAATTACACACTCCTTTTCAAGCGTACCTTAAAATACCAAAGCTTGATTCGACGAAACAGTTGCACTTATGTGTCTGCTTAATTTGTGCTTTCAAAGATTTGACCTCCTAAAAACTCACCCCCAGAGGGCACTGCAGGTTAAGGTTAAAGGCACCCCGCATCACTGCATTAGACATCAGATGTTCTCGCGGAGCAGCCAGGTTAAAAAGACTGTCCATACAGTATGCACTCTCTTTCTGCACAGCGTCGTCGGCACCAGCTCATTGCGGCGAGCTGCCCAGCTGAAGAAGAGGTTTCCTCACCTGGAGTTCAAAGATATCGTATCCTTCCCAGAACACCCCCCCCCCTCAAGGCTCCTGACCCAAAGACCGAGGCTTCCTGTGTCCTGTGAAACACACAGCTCGTCTACCACAACATACAAAATAATCCCACGCTCTGCAAGCCTTGCTTACTTACATTTGAATCTATACCGTGGCCATCTCAAAGTTCTTCCTCAGACCATGTTAAGGTTATCGTTTTCTCTTTTTTTAAACCCGGCCACAGAGGCCTTTTGCCTCTTGCCAGAAAGATCTGGTGCTCCCTCTCTTTCCATTTGTGGGCTTCCGAGCTCCGCTTGGGGGGGGTTGTGTGCTTCCTTGACCCCTGCCCCGCCAGCGGGGGAACCTGAACACCCGCCTGAAGAAGCTGGACGAGAAGGAGGACTTTGCAGCGATCATCCTGGCGGCCGCCGGGCTCCGCAGGATGGGCTGGGAGAACCGCGTGGGCCAGGTGAGAGGCTCCTCGCAGAACCAGTACCGTTCGTGTTCACTAACTGGAGCCGCTCTCGCGCTGGTCTGCCGTACTGGTCCCAGCCGTTCTGCTGTTTTAAAGCCTTGCAGGTGTAGCTCTAACACAGGGGCACAACGTGGGGTGCGCTGGCAGCTGGGAGCTCACCACCTAAGGGCGTGAGAGTGAGGCGCCAGAGAGGTCGCCAGGGTGTGTTGAAGACGGACTGGGTGCTGGGTCTCGGCGAGGCGTGCAGTGATGTAGGGAGTGTGGGTTTGTGCGACCCAACCTGGCGGCGTCGGGAGAGGACGTCGGGGGTTGGAGGCGGACCTGGGAGTCCGGGGAGCTGGCTGTGTGCGAGACGGTGGCCTGATGGAGTAGGAGCAGGAGGCACCGTGTTGGTGTCTGGGAGCAGGAGGTTCCTAGCACTGAGGACAACTTGGGGAACCTGAGCCTCTGAAGGCAAAGGGCCCAGAAGTAACAGAATATGCACTTATGTACCTTCCTACCCCGATGAGGGGGCCAGTGTGATCACCACTCTCGGAGGAGAGTGCGTGTAAGGGATCCTAAAGGGGCATGATGGGGGTGAATGGAACTACGTTCACCTGTGTTACTCTACAGCACTTGTTTCTCTTTCTTGAAAGCAAAGGAAATGTGAAGGGAATTACTTAAACAATTACTTTGTTTCATTAGGGGGATTGTTCTTTATAAGAAAGCATGCTAAACTCGGAGTGGGGAGGGGGGAAAATACATCGTGTAGAGATGCATGGGGTCACGTTTTGTGATGAAAATGGCCACTTCCGGAGATCACTGAAGGAGAAACACACTGGGTGCATTTCCCATTGTGCCCCGAATTACAACAGTATTATGGAGAGTTTTATAGTCAAGGATCCAGCCATGGTCAACCCATGTTATAACCATGAATGGAGGTTTATAAATGACCCTTTCCCTTCTGGCCCAGGGGTTATTGCTGGTGATGTTATCAGCTGTTTCTGAGATGAACATGTACAGCAGCAGGTGTCTGTTCAAACATCACCCCAGCCAGGTCGTGGGTAATGACCCCAGGCCGGAGTCAGATTTCTACAATAGCGAATGGCTCTCTGTTTCTGTCCCGTCTGCAGGTCCTGGGTCCTGAAGACTGTATGTACGCCGTTGGCCAGGTTGGTACATTTGTTTCTGTTCTCATGAAATGAAGGCAGGCACCAAAATGTAAAATGCCAGTTTGTTAGTTAGCCATTTCAAGCTTTTGGTATTTAAAAAGTAAAAAGAGAATCTATTTTTTTCCCCCAATTAAAGAATGAGTCGTATCCTTCTGTGTTAGTCCTGCAATTCATGCATTGTTTTTGCCCGGATGAAGATTTTTTTTAAATAACTTCCAGCACTATTGAGTATAAAATCAAGAATGGAGTACACAGAGTGATGGAATCACCTTGTCCCCCCCAGTCTTAACATGCTGTTGTGTTACGTTGGCAAATGTAACACAACACAAACCGGCAGTCATTGTTGCTCCTTTTAATGTGTTTCAGCTGTTGTTCCCCTTTATTTTTCTGTGCTTAGTAAAATTTGTAAAAAAAAAAAAAACAAACCTGTAATTTGTGTGGTTAATCCTTCCCATAGTCAAACGATTTTGCTGTTCATCAGTCCGCAGGCAGTGCTTTGTTCCAGTATTTCAGCTGCTGTTTTGAGTGCCCCGGTTACCATGGAAATATCTGGGGGGGGGGACAATGTTGTTGTGTTTGCCCGCTCAGAACATCCACCCCCGTGTCCTGTTTTCAGGGTGCTCTGGCAGTGGAGGTGCGTGCCTGTGACAAAGACATCCTGGACATGGTGTCCGTGCTGCACGACCCCGACACCGTGCTGCGCTGTATCGCCGAGAGAGCCTTCCTCAAGTACCTGGTAAAGTTCTCCACGCGACACCCGGACGGCACACGCAGCAGGGAGGGCTGTATATCCCGAAACGGGGCCCTTTTCACTTTTCACCTCCTGCTCTGGCCTGGATTTTGGGCAGAAATCCTTCCTATTGTGGGACACCAGACCATATCGTCGCACATGGGGACACTTAAGAGACCCCGCCTCGCATAGCCAGCATGCCGTTGCAAGGAAACCCCCAGGATCAGAGAGAGAACCAAGAGTTGTGAGGCAGCAGCACATCTATGCTGACAGTAGGCATAAAAACACAATCTATACAGTATTTATCCATTAATTCATTCATTTTCTAACAGCTTTACAGGTCGTGGGGGAGCTGGAGCCTATCCCAGCAAGCAACGGGAGCAAGGCAGGGTACACCCTGGATGGGACACCAGTCCATCGCAGGACAAACACAGACACGCACATACAGTCCCACCAGAGACCACTTTCCCAGAAACTCATTAACCTGCCAGCACGTTTTTGGACTGTGGGGGGGGGGAATCCACGTGACCACAGGGAGAACATACAAACTCCACGCAGACAGCACCCCAAAAACTGAATCTGGGGTCCCAGCGCGTCAAGGCCGCAGTGCTAACCACTGCGTCACTATGCTTCCGATTACACATTATTTTCTTTTTAAATACTTATGTAGAAAGTCTTATATGTTTAATATATGGAGTCTATTACTGTGTAGCGATATGGTGCTCACACGCTTTCTTTCGACGCCCTCACCGTGTCCTTCTCCGTCTCCCAGGAGGGCGGCTGTAGCGTGCCAGTGGCGGTGCACACCGAGATCAAGGACTCCCAGGTAATGAAAACTGACCGGGCAGGAGGGAACATGTGCTTCCGGAAGTAAAACCAGGGGCCCAAATCTGACCCTTGCCGTGCTCCGGCACAGAATTGTAGCCCAACTCATTCAAACTGCAGATCATTCCGGCACGTTCCACACTTTGAAGTGTGGCTCACACAAACGCAAAAAAAATCCTGTTTAGTTTGGATGGAACTTGGAGAAAGAGGGCATCTTTTTTTTCAATGTTTGAATTGATTGCTGGGGTGCAGGAGTGAGACAGTGTGGCTTGTTGGGGGGAGCAGAACTCCGTGTCCCGGCCGCTGTCTCAGCTCTGGTTTTGTCGGACGTTCTGTTTCAGCTCTACCTGACGGGTGCTGTGTACAGTCTGGACGGCTCAGACAGCCTGAAGGAGACCATGCAGACCAGCGTCGCCTCGGACAAGCAGGTGAGGCCCGCTCGTGCTCCTCTCAGAGCTCGGCATGCTGGTCTCTCGCCGCGTCTCGGAACAGTGGCGGCCCAGTCCTGGTTCTGCAGCGGGACTGGGCCGCCAGCAGCAGGCTTAGGGCCGTCGTTGGGACTGAAGTCCAAAGACTGGTCATGCTGTCGGAATTCTGTCCCATGGGACACTAGGCCAAAAGATGGGATTTTAATATTGCCCTTAAACTGAAATGAATAAGTGAAATGTCACTTGCTTGGCTGAGATGAACACTGGAGCCAATAAGTGAAATCAGTGAAAGTGAGTGAAAAGTAGCTTGTTGTTACTGATTTTGTCTGTGGGGCATCTTTGCAAATTTTCTTTTCTTGAGAAACATAGAAAGGAACTAGAAAATTACTAACTGAAAACTAGAGCTTTTTATAGATGTGGGTTTCCTTAGTCAAAGAGTACCTGCTTATTTTCTTTCAAACTCAGAGACCTGATTTGAATTCATGATGTTCAAATCAACTTTATTTGTCATTATACTTACACGGGTGCGTAGTATAGTGAAAAGTGTTTCTCATGAGTCTCTCAGGTACGGTATATAAGTAGAACAGCAGACAAGACAATATCCAGAAATACAATAACAGTGTAAACAACAGTATTGTACCAGTGCAAAATTGTCAAAAACTGCAAATACACAAACAGAAAAGTATACAAACAGGACAAAATCAGTGCTAACTTAATACGGCGAACAGTGCAAAAATAATACGGCGATTATTAAATAGTACAACTAGTACAGTTTTAAGTACAATTTCAGCATACATTCAGTTGTCGTGTATATAGTGATGTAGGAGTACAGTCATTGTGGGTACAGGAAGAACTGCGGAGAGATCATAGTATGATGGAATACTATGCTATAGAAAACTATAGAATACACTAATGTGTGCGAAGAAACCAGGACAAACTTCTCCAAAAAAAACCCAACCTTATAGTTCCTCCCGCTCCTGCATCTATGATTTTATAAAACAGTTGAGTGTTGCTTTGCTGAGGCACAGACGCATTCCCAGCCCTTCACTGTGAGGCGTGCCTGTCGGGCTCAGGTCGGTCAGTCCAGTTCGCTGCAGTGCAACGGGCCTGACGGTGCCTTTCTCTCTGGTCCTGGCGCAGGAGGAGGACGGGGTGGACGACGGCGCCCAGCGGGTGGGCATCACGGCGGGGAACGTGCCCCACCTGGCACAGGAAGCGGCAGAGAAGCTGGGGGTGGACTTGGCCAAGCTCCTGCTGAGCAAAGGTGCCAAGGAGATCTTGACCGTGGCCAGGCAGCTCAATGACGCCAAGTAACCCTTGCTCTCCGCATCACCCCACCCCCGGGGGGCCAAGCAGAAAGTTTCCACCCCACCAGGAGGCTCATCAGAATAGATCGTTCATGCTAGAGGTGACTCTGACCAATCCCCTCCCGTACTCCCAGTGACACCCTCCCTGTCTCGAATTGCAGCACGTCAGCTTCTCCCTGTGAACACCTGAAACAAGCCGCTGTGGTTTGTTGACGTCCTAGAAAACTGAATAAACTCAGGTGTTTGGTTTTTATTAC